TGACCTCCCGCCCTGGCCGCGTGACCTCGGCCGCTCAGCCGCGGTGTCAAACCCGTGACCTCCCGTGACCTTTTTTTGAGCCTCATCCGGCTCCGTGACCTGACACCGGGCGATGGCCTTTTTGTGCTGATCCACCAGCTGGAGGCCTGTCTTTGTTATTTTTCAACGCGAGCCGTGGAGTTTGTTTCATACAGGAAGCTTCTGGTCTGGGACAACTGTCAGGAAAGCGTGTTCCTCTAACCGAATGTCGTCCTCCGCGCTCATCGCCGCGACAATAACGAGGTTAATCACCTATGATATCATTCTGTTGTGATATTTTATTACTGAACCCCTTTATTCCTAATCATACGGTCCCAGGTCCAGAATAAGCAACACATTAACCCTTCACATCTGATCGTGCTCTCTTGATAACATTTGCAGAATCGCAAATATCTTACTATGGTTTTCTACGTTTCCCTTCATTCGTGGGACATGAACATCGTTGGTTGGGCCAGCGGTTATCATCCAGCCCCCACAATGAAGAAGCAGGACATTTGGCCCATCAAGCCCACACCGACCCTCCAAAGAGCATCCCACCCTATCCTCGTAACCCTACATTTCCTTTGGATATCCCTAGGCAATGTAGCAGAGACATTCCACTTAAACTGCAGATAACGAGGTGTAGAGCTGGATGAACACAGCAGGCCAAGCAGCATCAGAGGAGCAGGAAGGCTGACGTTTCGGGCCTAGACCCTTCTTCAGAAATGGGGGAGGGGAAGAGGGTTCTGAAATAAATAGGGAGAGAGAGGGAGGCGGATAGAAGATGGATAGAGGAGAAGGTAGGTGGAGAGGAGACAAGCAGGTCAAAGAGGCGGGGATGGAGCCAGTAAAGGTGAGTGTAGGTGGGGAATTAGGATGGAGATAGGTCAGTCCAGGGAGGACGGACAGGTCAAGGAGGTCGGATTGAGGCTGGTAGGTAGGCGATGGGGGTGGCGCTTGAGGTGGGAGGAGGGGATAGGTGGGAGGAAGAACAGGTTAGGGAGGTGAGGACGAGCTGTGCTGGTTTTGGAATGCGGTAGGGGGAGGGGAGATTTTGAAGCTTGTGAAGTCCACATTGATACCATTGGGTTCCTAAGCGGAATATGAGGTGCTGTTCCTGTAACCTTCGGGTGGCATCGTTGTGGCACTGCAGGAGGCCCAGGATGGACATGTCGTCTGAGGAATGGGAGGGGGAGTTGAAATGGTTCGCGACTGGGAGGTGCAGTTGTTTAGTGCGAACCGAGCGTAGGTGTTCTGCAAAGCGGTCCCCAAGCCTCCACTTGGTTTCCCCGATGTAGAGGAGGCCACAACGGGTACAGTGGATGCAGTAAACCACATTAGCAGATGTGCAGGTGAACATCTGCTTGATGTGGAAAGTCTTCTTGGGACCTGGGATGGGGGTGAGGGGGGAGGCGTAGGGGCAGGTGTAGCACTTCCTGCAGTTGCAGGGAAAAGTGCCATGTGTGGTGGGGCTGGAGGGGAGTGTGGAGCGGACAAGGGAGTCAAGGAGAGAGTGGTCCCTCCGGAAAGCAGATAAGAGTGGGGAGGGAAAAATGTCTTTGGCGGTGGGGTCGGATTGCAGGTGGCAGAAGTGTCAGAGGATAGTGCGTTGGATCCGGAGGTTGGTGGGGTGGTACGTGAGGACGAGGGGGATTCTTTTTTGGTTGTTATTGCGGGGAGGTGGTGTGAGGGATGAGTTGCAGGAAATGCCTTCCTCCCACCTCAAGCACCACCCCCATCTCCTACCTACTAACCACATCCCGCCCCCTTGACCTGTCCGTCTTCCCTGGACTGACCTATCTCCTCCCTAACTCCCTACCTGCACTCACCTTTACTGGCTCCATCCCTGCCTCTTTGACCTGTCTGTCTCCTCTCCACCTATCTTCTCCTCTGTCCATCTTCTATCCGCCTCCCTCTCTCTCCCTATTTATTTCAGAGCCCCCTTCCCCTCCCCCTCCCCCATTTCTGAAGAAGGGTTTAGGCCCGAAACGTCAGCCTTCCTGCTCCTCTGATGCTGCTTGGCCTGATGTGTTCATCCAGCTCTATACCTTGTTATCTCAAATTCTCCAGCATCTGCAGTTCCTACTGTCTCTGAAACCACTTAAAGTGCACATCTTTGGACTGTGAAATGAAACCGGAGTACCCGAAGGAAACCTATGCAGACACTGGGTGGGGGGAGAATATGCAACTCCACACAGACAGTCACCTGAGGTTGGAATCGAACCTGGGCCCTTGGCACTATGAGGCAGCAATACTAACCTCTGAGCCACCATGCCACCCATCCCTAATTGCCCTTGAGAAGGTGGTAGTGAGCTGCCTTCTTGAACTGTTGTAGTCCATTTGCTGTGGGTTGACCCACATTGCCCTTAGGGAGGGAATTTCAGGAGTTTAACCAAACGACAGTGAAGGAACAGTGACATATTTCCAAGTCAGGATGGTAAGTGGCTCAGAGGAGAACTTGCAAGTTGGTGTTGCCATGTGTCTACTCCCCTTGCCCTTCTAGATGGTAGTGTTTGCAGATTTAGAAGGTGCTGTCTCAGGAAGCTTGGTGAATTTGTGCAGTGCGTCTTGTCGATAGTACACACTTGATGTTACAGAACATCAGTAATGGAGGGAGTGAGTGTTTGTGAATGTGGTGCCAATCAAATGGCTGCTTTGTCTTGGATGGTATCAAGCTTCTTGAGTCTTGCTGGAGATACAGCCATCCAGGTAAGTGAGGAGTATCGCATCACAGTCTTGACGTGTGCCATGTAGATGGTGGATGGGCTTTGGAAAGTCAGAAAGTGAATTATTCACTGCAGTTTTCCGAGTCTCTGATTTGCTTTTGTGTCCTCTGTATTTATAAGGTCGTCCAATTCAATTTCTAATAAATGGGAATCCAGGATGTTGATAGTGAGGGATTCAGTGATGGTAACACCGTTGAATGTCAAACATTTCTTCTTATTTGGGAATTTTTTTCTTCATTCGTGGGAAAGGAGCACAACCTATATTAAGAATCAGAGAATCATAGAGATGTACAGCATGGAAACAGACCTTTTGGTCCAACGCATCCAAATACCTTTTAAATGTTATAATTGTACCAGCCTCCACCACTCCCTCTGGCAGCTTATTCCATACACACACCACCGTCTCTATGAAAAAGTTGCCCCTTAGGTTATAGTTCCTTGAAAGTAGAATCAAAGGTGGACAGGATAGAGAAGGTGGCGTGTGGTATGCTTACTTTTATTGGTCAGTACATTGAGTTTAGGAGTTGGGAAGTCATATTACAGCTGTACAGGACATTGGTTGGCCACTGTTGGAATACTAAATTCAATTCTGGTCTCCCTGCTATAGGAAGGATGTTGTGAAACTTCTTGAAAGCGTTCAGAAAAGATTTACAAGGATGTTGCCAGAGTCGGATGGTTTGAGCTAAAGGGAGAGGCTGAATAACCCGGGGCTATTTTCCCTGCCGTGTCAGAGGCTGAGGGTTTATCTTATAGAGGTTTATAAAGTCATGAGGGGCATGGATAGGGTGAATAGACAAGGTTTTCTCCCCGGGGTGGGCAAGTCCAAAACTAGAGGCTATAGGTTTAAGGTGAGAGGGGAAAGATTTAAAAGGGACCTTGTTGCCCATTGTTCACTGCTGTTGAAAATGCAATGGTTAGCTGCCTCCTTCAACCAATTTCTGCAGCGTGTGGTGTAGGAGTGCTCACAATGCTATTAGGGAGAGGGCTTTCGGGTTTTGACTCAGTGAAACTGAAGGAACAGTGAATAGTTCCAAGTCAGGAGGATGCCTGGTTTATATTGGAACTTGCGAATACTAGTTTATGGCATGTACAATCGAGAGTCGGGTCCTTGCTAAGTCAGATATCTTGAAGTTTATTTTCAACGTTATTGACAAGGTTGTGATATCATAGATTTAAACATGTAGTCTGGTTGCAATTTACTGATGTAGCTGTACACTACAAACACAAACACACATACTCACACGTACCTGTCTTAAAGGTACAGATCCATCTAATCTGGAATCTCTTCCATAACATAGTAGTGATGATGTGGGGGTGCTGGTGTTGTACTGGGGTGGACAAGGTCAGAAATTGCACAACATCAGGTTATAGTCCAACAGGTGTATTTAAAAACAGAAGTTTTCAGAATGTAGCCCCTTTGTCAGATGCAGTGAGAAAGAAGCACACAGAACGCAGAATTTAGAAGTAAAAGATCAAAAGGTCACACAACTGATGAGGATGTATACATATTAATCAATTAAAACCTTCTAACTTATTAAAGATTTAACAGCATCATAGGTTTCCTTAATACATCCTCACAGTTGTGTGATACTTTGATCTTTTACTTATAAATTCTGTGTTCCATGTGCTTCTTTCTCACTGCACCTGATGAAGGGACTACACTCCGAAAGCTTGTGATTTCAAATAAACCTGTTGGACTGTAACCTGGTGACGTGTGATTTATAACATAATAGGAGTTGTGTCTATGTGCGCCTCCTGTTCTTGTCCTCATGGGTGGCAGCAGTAGGAGGTTTGTAAGGTGCTCCTGCAGGAACCTTGGTGAGCTGCTGCTGTGAATCTTATAGATGGTATAACTGCTGCCACTGTGTGCCAGTGGTGGGGGGAGTAAATGTTTAGTATGATGGCTGGAGTGTTTATCAAGCAGGGTGGTGTCAAACGCCTTGAGCTGCACCCATCTAGGCGAGTAGAATGCACTCCATCATACTCCTGACTTATGCATTGTAGATGATGGACAGGCTTTGAGAAGACTGGAGGTAAAGTTAGTTATCACAGGATTCCCAGCCTCTGAAATGTTTCTTCTGTTCCTAAGGCAATCTTGGTGGGTAAAATCCAATATAACTGATATTTATAAATGCTGAACTGCTCCTATTTTCCAAATAGCTTTGCAGTAGCACTGAAACTACAGATTATGTATCTGTTTATCTGACTGCCTATTGTCAACCTGCCTATCCGATTTGCTGGTCAATCTATAATCTCCATGTCTATTTTTGTCTACCAATCCATCCAAATTGGAGTTATATTTTTCTGCTATAGACGCGGGTTTGATGGCCTGAATGGTCTAATCCTGTTGTTATTCCTTCATATCTTACGGTATATCTATAAATCCATCATCTATCAATTCATACATCTATCATTTTTCTTTCAATTGTCCTTGATCTCAAGGTACAGCTAAGAAACAGGAGAAGATTGATTTATCTATTTGTCAACTAATCACCAATAAATTACCTCTGCAACTATTATTATTGCAACCAATGACTG